AGTTAAATGCATCAATCTGGTGCACTTTGAGAGCAAAATGAAGAGATCTATGGATACATCTCTCAACACCTATATGAAACAGAACTGTAAACAGATTTACTTTTTCTATATGGATATTTTACAAATTACCCTTTTAAACTTTATTCTTTTTTTACTGTCATATAGTATTTCATACCTGTTTTTCATTTATTCTCTTATTTTTTTATAACTATAATGATCATATAAACGTGTGCCTCGGAAATAATTGTTTACATGAATGGTGACCAAAACATTTGAGACCCACTGAGATAACACTGAGAGAGTCCTTTAGCTCACTGAGCCTCTCAGTCTGACAGGAGAGGACTCTCCTCCACTTTGTTGTTGAAAAAACTCCTTAAATGTATATCCGTTAGCGTAGCTCGCTAGCACCAGAAGCTAACAACAACGATCTCCGGTACTGGTGCGCTCGCTCTCTCTCTTTCTCACGCACAGAAAATGGCTCGTTCCACACACACAGAGCCGAGCTTTAATGAAACACAGAGACCCAGACGTAATAGTACTGTATCATATTACTTTCGAATCAATAATTTTTCAAATTATGATTATTATTATTTTTTTAATCTTTTAAAGCATTTTTTCCTGTCATGCCTCTTCGCCCCCCACTTTGGGAACCACTGGGTTAGGGCTTGGGGTTGGATTATCATGTTAAGCCAATCCAAGACAGAGAAGGATGTTAAGATGTTAAGACATTAACATTACATTACATTACATTGCATTTAGCTGACGCTTTTATCCAAAGCGACCTACAATAAGTGCGTTCGACCAACAAAGTACAAACTTGAAGAAAACGGAATCATATAACATTAAAATAGAGAGGTGTGTATTTAAAATGGCTTTGTTAAATGCAGCCTCTGAAAGACCCATCACGTGAGCTTACCTTTAGGACGTACAGTCAGGGTTTCACTGCGTTTCACTATTTCCTTGGCTTTAGCTACACAGGTATAGTTGAAATCATATAGCAGGGCTTTGACAGAAAATACTCCGTTGACTTTGGAGTTCAGTGGGCTTTCGGTTGGATCAAGAGTGTATGTCAACTCGTCCTTGCCGAGTCTTTCAGAGGCAGAGCTCTCACTTCTGCAGTTTAGTGTCATGTATTCCCTTTGAAAGACTTCAGCAGGATACATGGTGAGAGTGGGCACTGAAAACAGCTCTGTGGATAGATACAGAAAACAAGTCATCATCTGCTTTCATATCACTTCATAGAGGAAATGCTTTTATTTACAACAACAAAATGTGTAAAAAGACTGTCAGACTTATAGAGTGCCACAGTGGCGCGTTCTAAAACCCGGAAGTAAGTTAGCATTTTACCACTTCCGGTTCCTTCGACAAAAAACAATCATAAATCTTATCGATAGATTTATGATCGATAGATTTACGATCGATAGATTTATGATTAGAACATTATAAAAGCAGGGTAGACATGTGGATATTATCCGGCTGAAAAAAACGTGATCTGTCTCTTAAATGTGTGTCAACCACAGACCTTATTTCCAGCTATTTTCCAAAATCCTATGGAGAAATTGCATTGTTTTTTGTCGAAGGAACCGGGAGGAGTTTATTTCCGGGTTTTAGGATGCGTCACTGTGGCACTCTATTAAACAATAAATAATAGAAATACTGTTAATTGGATAAAATAAATGAAAAGCTAAGAACTGACTATTGAGTGTCTGATAACATTTAACAACATTGTATCAGTTTTGGAGCTCCACAGGTGTAGCATTCATAAGAATATAGTAATGGATTCCAGTTGAACTGGGAGGTTAGAATTTTAAAGTTCCTAGTCCAATTTCAACTTTAACGCCCAATAAAGTCAAATTTACGCCTTGAAAAGTCAGCAGAACCTCACTAACCCAGAGCTCAAGCTCCTGGATGACATCAACCAGTGGAAGCTGAAGTAAGAGTAATACACCTATGTATATGTTAATAAATCAGTCATACAGAACATGGTTCAACTTTTATCTGTGGCACTGGCCATGTTGCTTCTAAGCTTACTATGGAGTTTGTATGTACAAATACAGCGTAATGCATTATTAACTGGTATTGCTAACAATGGCTAGCAAAGCTAACAAAGCTACTCAGAACTCAGTATTAATGCTAATCATTGATATTTAAGATGAAACATACATCAGTAGCTATTACACATATTTATATGCAGGCTGCAGTTTGCACACAGGTATTTTTCTTGTCCACTCACCAGTCACTGACACCGCCTTTGTGTAAATTTTTCTAACATTTCCCATCTCTAATCTGCACTCAAACTCTCCAGGGTCCTTTGCCAGAGCGACCATGCTGTGGTTGACTTTAGAGTATCCAATGCTGAGAAGCTGGCTCCCCTGGCTCAGGTACAGGTTGATACTTTCCGAGCTGCGCTGATCGTTTTTGACCGAGCAAAAGATGTGGAGTTTGTCTCCTTCATAGATCTTGGACTTGGGGAAAATCTCCAAAACCGCTACGATGGGAAGCTCTAAGGAAACAAAACCAATGAAGAAAAAGCTCTGAGACGCCTCAAATGTACGGTGGCCCTGAAGTGCAAGTCAAAACAACATTTCATAAAACGCAACAGCATTTCATAAAACACGACATTTCAAAAAACACTACAACATTTCACAAAACGCTACAGCATTTCGTAAAACACAACGACATTTCAAAAAACA